TTAATAAAATAAATCATGGTGATTAAAACAAGAGTAATTCAAAAGTTGAGTGATTAAATTGAAAAATTTTAAAGTTTAGTGAACAAAATAGAAGAGAAAAAATAAGAGGGCTAAATTGAGTTATTTTCTTGAGTTGGAAGACCATATTGGAAGGGAAAAAAAGGATTTTAGCATACTTAATCTGTCACGTCAGCACAAAGTAATGAAATCTTTGGTCAAAGATTTATATTGAGTTTTTTTTTTTTTTTTTACTTTGAGGGCCATATTGATTTTTTTAAAGTATGAGAGCCTTCAATACCCTTTTGCCTAAATAATATAAAACTATTAATTTTACATTGGGTGCAATTAGATAATGCCCCGTATTATATATATATATTTATTTATTTATTTATAAAAGTTATGATCAAATTATATAGTGTAAAACTAAAAAAATTTACACCTTTTTTACTTTTTTAGGATTATTGGAGGAGAGAAAATAAAAGACTGATATTAACTATTTGTTTTTTTTTTCAGTGAATATATCATCACTTACTATTGTTGATTTCAATTTTTATCATCCAACTATCCTAAAAAAGCTCTTAGTTTTACACTGGATGTAATTGAATCATGTTCGTTATGATCTAATTATATAGTTGATGATAAAAAAACAATGCACCACACGTCGATTTCTTCGTATAATCATGCTGTGATACGGAATCAGGATTTTAGTTTAGAGAATAAAATATAATTAGTAATAAAAAATATAAAATATAAAATCAAAATAAATTAAAACTTGAAAGTCTATAAAATTATTTATTTATATATATATTTTAATGATATAAAATTTAGGACGAAAGTAACCCTAGAACTATATGTAGTTCCTTCTCTGTTTTGATTTATCTATTTTTCTCATCACCAAAGCTCTAATTATTAAAAGTTATAAAATGATCTTCTAACAATAGGATGTCGCTTTGTCGAGTCTCTCGATTATTAAAAGTTATAAAATGATCATTTCACTATTCATTATGTTCCAAACTCGTCATTTTCTATTAAAAATTTATAACGATTTGAGTTGGACGTTAAATTGCTGACTGGATATAATAAAATTTGATCTCAGAATCTCAAAGGACTATCATATCTCAATCAACATGTTACCGTTAAGCTAAGATTATTGTTAATTTTTTAACGAAAAAATGACGAGTTTGGAACATAGTGAATATCCAGGTGACCATTTTGTAAATTTTAATAGTCAACGGACTCAACAAAGCAACATCCTATAGTCGAGAGATCATTTTGTAACTTTTGATAGTCGAATGACACAATAAAGTATCATCTTATAATCGGGGGACTCAATAAAGCAGTATATGTTATAAAAACTCTCAATTATTCGACAACGAACACTCAAATACTCTAAAGTCTCTGATGCTCGAACTTGGAACCTATTAGAATAACATTATTTTAACTACTGAGGTAGATAAGTTCGTATGTATTTATATTTTATATTATTTTTTGAACGTATTTTTCTATTCCGTATTATATTTTATATCATACTATATTTTTATGTTTAGGCGTTGGCCGCTGCATTCCACTGAAAGAATGCCCCTAGGTCCTACTACTGAATGTTTGTTTCTCAAGTTTTTCTTCTTTTTATTTGCCGTGCAGAGGGTATGAAAGCCATGAAACTAGGAAAGGTAGCCTAGGACAACTTAACCCCTTTTTTTCTCTTTTAAATATAATTATTAATCACGAATCAAACGATCTTAATGGTAAAATAATTGTTGTTATTTTTTGAGATATCGAATTCGATTACCATAAATATTAAGGGTATGAGCGTTCAATTTCAAATATTTTAAAGTTATATTTAAACAAATACTCTCATGTATTTAGCCCGGATTAATCAAAAAAATATAATTATTAATATTTAATAATTAATTATTATAAAATAAAATGTCGACACATATGTTTTCAAATTTAACAAAAAGAGGCAGAAATTCTAAAGTGAGAGGCAGTCAAGATATGGTGGAAAAGGTCATTCTTGGGGCAGGAATTGGAACTTTTATTGTTTTAAAATATTTTTCTTTTTTTTATGACTTGTATGATTAGGGTTCAAATAAAAGAATGGGTAAAGTATAGTAATGGTCACTAAACATTTCTAAAACTTTCATTTAGGTCCCCCAACTTTTAAAACTTGCAATACAGTCCCCTAACATTTATTCCGTTTGCAATATGGTCCCCCAACTTAAACCACTGTTAGAAAATTAGGGTAAATTATATAATCGATCATTAAACTTTTCAGACACTTGAATTTAGGTCTCCCAACTTTTAAAACTTGTAAAACAATCCTTAATTTCATTATAAACCCCAATTTCTAAAGTAATTCAATTTCATTCTAAACCATTGATTCTACTAAATCATAAATGATCATTGTATGAGAAAATTCAGGTGAATCATAAATGATCGCATTGTAAAGCACTGAAGGGTTAGGTACTCAAATCTGATAAAAAAATAGCATGCAAGAACATAGTGGTACTTAAATCATAATGCTCCAAATTAGCGTTCCGAATTTTATATAGTCAAAAGTTGAAGAAATGAGCAGAGTTTATGGGAAGTTGAAATACCGAATAGAGTGCTTCCATTTTGCTATTCGGGATGTTTAACCAATGCATATTGTTATTCAAAATTGATATAAATAGTTAAACAAACCTCAAATTTATATTGAAATAAATATTGTCAAATAGTAAATTCATGTTCAAAATTTCAAAACACCTTAATTTCATTCTAAACCCTAAATTCCAAAATAATTCAATTACATTCTAAACCTTAAATTGAAGTATTTTAGAATTTGGGGTTTAAAATTTAATTGAATTATTTTGGAATTTAGGGTTTATAATGAAATTGAATTACTTTAGAAATTGGGGTTTAGAATGAAATTGAGGACTATTTTACAAGTTTTAAAAGTTGGGAGACCTAAATTCAAGTGCCTAAAAAGTTCAATGACCGTTACCCTAATTTTCTAATAGTGGTTTAAGTTGAGGGACCATATTGCAAACGGAATAAATGTTGGTGGACTGTATTGCAAGTTTTAAAAGTTGAGAAACCTAAATGCAAGCTTCAAAAATATTCAGTGACTATTACTATACTTTACCCTAAAAGAATTTATGGGCAACAATCCCCACAAAATTTGGTCACCCAAATGCAATGATTGGGAGAACTTGGGACATCTTCCACCTTTTATCAGACCCTGAAATTTTTATATTTTTATTTACTTTTATTAATTTTAATTTTATTATATTACAATCATCATAAGTCGAATTCTCTATTATATAAAAGAATTCAAAAGTCATCGATAAAAAAAATTAAGTTTGATTTTTTTAAAAAAAAAAATAAGAACAACAATAATTTTTTATTTTTTTAAAATTTTAATAATATTTTTATTTATAACATGTTTTAATATTTAAAAAATTAAAAATTTAATTTTTATTTTTATTTTTATTGAAAAAATAAATAAATTTTAAGTTTTATAAAAAAAACTCTTAAACTTTTTAAAAAGCCAACTAAATTCATTTATTCCGTTATTATTTACAAATAAATTATCACATCAATTCTGAAATAATTAATGGCGAGTTTATATCGGTCAAAATAACTATATTAATTAGGCAGAGATAATTAGGGCACCCCCTACATTAACTTGAAATGATTAAAGAAATAAACACTTTGTTTTGGATTTAGTGTATGTGAGATAATTAGGGTGATAGCTCATAGGATTAGGGCACATGATGCACCACCAAAAGATGTGTATCAATCATTTGATCCACATTTTTATTAGCTATTACCACAACTTAATCACCCAAGCAAATTAATTACATTGCCTATTCAAAGCTTTCAAGTCATGTGAAATAAGCTATGATTTATTCTAAGTTAGATAACTTATAGGTTATATATATATATATATATAATCTGAGTTGTACGAATTAAATGGTCTCTGTAATAAATGTATTGTTGTTATTCTTGAGGACTTGGGTTTGAGCACCATAGATGTCAGAAATATGAGTATTCAATGTTAAAATGTTGAAAATTATATTTGAACATATATTATCTTGTACTTAACTCAAATTAATAAAAAAATAATCCGAGTTGCTTTGAAGAGCTGAGTCTAATTCAGGACAGAAATAATTGTTGCTGAGTAGAAAATTAGGTAGAACTATGTGTATTAATATTTAGGATAAATATCTAAATATAATTAAAAGTAGTAATTATGTATTTAGTACTTAAACTAGTAATTTTATCTGTTTTAATACTTATATTTTCAATTTTTTCAAAATCATACCTAAATACAGTTAAGTTTCAGTTAAGTTTCTTTATGGAAAATTACACCATTCACCACTCAACTATCTTCTCACTCCTATTTTGGTACTAATGTTTAAAAAATTCAATTTAACTACTAAACTTTCAAATTGCTCATATTTTAATCACTCTAATTTATTTTATTAATATTTTTTGTGACATAACATTTATTATTATTATTTTATTAATATAAATAAAAATAAGAGTGGTTAAGTTAGGAGTAATTTAAAATTTAAGTATTTAAATTAAAAAAATTAAACTTTAGTGACTAAATAGGAGGGAGAAGATAATTAAATGATTAATGATGCAATTACCTATAAAAAGGTGACACGTGCAGATCATCCATTAAGTTTTTAACAGCTAGATACTAAAACTAAATGTTAGATATAGTTTTGAAAACGTTAAAAATTTAAATAATAAAACAAATGAAAACTGATAATTTAAGTATTAAATGTGTGATTTATTCTTAAAATTATTTAAAAAAACAATATAAACGTTAATCCCACTTCCTAAATCGGCTGTGTGGGGTCAGCTTTAATGTTGTTGTTTTTTTTCTTAGAGGATTCTTCTTCACTAAACCAAAGAACTAGAAACAAAGAATTAAATAGCAACAAGTCCCACAGATCAATGTAATCCAAAGCATTGAAAAAACAAATAAAAGCCTGATTCTCCCTCCTCTCTTTCTCTTCAAGGCTCTTTTGTTCTCCTTCTTTTCCATATCTTAAAACCAGTCATGGCAACGAGAAGAACCTCTCAAGACACCTCCAAAAGGCACCTCCATTGGACCATAAAAGTCGGAACCGAAGAAAACCAAGCCCGGTCTTTCAAGTCCGAGGAGGAAGAGACCAACGGAAGAAGAACAGCTCTTAAAACCCATGCAATTTCCCTGCCGACACCGCGGAAGAAGAAGCTTCCTTCAGCCGCCTCGGTTTCCATCGCCAGGCTACGATCCGTCGTGTCGGATCTTCGGAGGAGCCGTTCGGGGCTGCTGTTCGGCCTCGGTTCACGATTGATCGGCACTCTCTTCGGTTACCGCCGTGGACACGTTCATTTCGCTTTGCAGAAAGAACCCAATTCCCCGCCGGCGTTCCTCGTCGAACTCGCCACGCCGATAAGCGGTCTGGTCCGAGAAATGGCGTCCGGGCTGGTCAGGATCGCCCTCGAGTGCGATAAACGCAGAGAAGGAGACCGTAACGTGAGGTTACTCGAAGAGACCGTTTGGAGAACGTATTGCAACGGAAAGAAATGCGGGTTCGCAACCAGAAGAGACACCGGAGCTAATGAACGTACAATTCTTAAAGCCGTGGAACCAATCTCCATGGGAGCCGGAGTTCTACCGGCGACCGAAGCCGAAGGTGGCGAACTCATGTACATGAGAGCCACGTTCGAGAGAATCGTGGGGTCGAGAGATTCTGAAGCTTTTTACATGATGAATCCCGACAGCAACGGTGCTCCTGAACTTAGTGTTTATTTGCTTAGAGTTTGATGCTTCCGCCATGGAAGATCTGAGAGCTAATCTTCTAGTTTCTGTTCAAGGTTTGCTTTGTAGGGGAGAAATCGGAAGCTTGGGTTATAATTTTACTAGTGGTTTGGGTTAGTTTAGGTGAGAGGAGGGAAATTACATTATAACATGTTGACGATGGTAGGTTGGGGTCTTAAAGCTGTGTATATGTATTGACTTTGTTTTTTTCTTCCATGTTTGATTGAGTAATGAAGCACTAAATTGATGTAATATATATTCGGGTAACTTACACGTTTTATAACGGCTAAATCTACGAGATAATGTGTTGGAATTATTTATTTCACGAGATAACGTTCTCCCAAGATTAATTGCTGAAGTAGGGCGAATTGCACAGTGTTGGCCGTAGGTCGCCATGCCTTCCAGGCGACCTACGACGTGGCAGCTTCAGACATCCCATGCACAACCCAACCCATAGGTCGCCATGCACTCCCAGCAACCTCCTAGGTCGCCATGCACTCTGGGCGACCAAGGAGGTCGCCATGCACGCCCGGCGACCTTGTCTCCTTGCATGGCCATGTGATATTTCTGCACGTCTCGCTCTATTGATGCAACACATGCATGAGGGAGCAAAGGGTTAAAGCTTGGTCGTCGGGCAGGAATCTCCCAGCTATGACATGCAGGGCGTGCAGAGGGTTAAAAGCTTGGTCGCCGGGCGTGCATGGCGACCTCCTTGGTCGCCCAGAGTGCATGGCGACCTAGGAGGTCGCTGGGAGTGCATGGCGACCTATGGGTTGGGTTGTGCATGCCACGTCGTAGGTCGCCCGAAAGGCATGGCGACCTACGGCCAACACTGTGTAATTCGCCCTACTTCAGCAATTAATCTTGGGAGAATGTTATCTCGTGAAATAAATAATTCCAACACATTATCTCATAGATTTAGCCGTTTTATAACTAATCAATTATTTTTAGTTTAATTTTTATTTCATTTTAGTACCCGTAATTAAAAATTTTAGTTTTTGTTTTATTTTAAGATCCGTTCAAAATTTAACATTAAGTTTTGAAAATATTAAAAGTTTAGGTACTAAACGCTATAAGTTTTCAATGACGGTTTACTAAGATGAAATGAAAACTAAATGCTATATATGATATTGAAAAAATTAAAAGTTTAAATACTAAAATGGGTCAAAACTGATATACTAAATATGTAATTTACCCTATATATTTTTTGTCATACTATATATATTCGAATTATTAATTAATTGATTTAGATAAAACATTATAACAAATTATTATAAAAAATGACCCTCTTAATTTAATTGTATTAATTAAGCATCAGAACTTAAACTCTTAATAAAGAAATTCAACATCATAAATCGTTAAACAAATAAATAATTAATCTAACTCAAGCATTAATTAATTAATTAATTAATTAATTGTATTTGTGATACGTCTTTTAAAAACATAAAAAAACCTTTCAACGCGAGTTTTAAAGTAAGATTTATATTTTAGATAAGATAAGTAAACAAATAAATGTATATTTTGTATTTCTTTTTATTCCAGATTCAAACAAAAGGGTGTATTGTCATAAATTAAAAATATAATAAATATTTTCTTATAATCCCTCTTTAATATATATATACATACATAAATATATTTTAATATCTAAATTTAATATATATACATAAATATATTATAAATATATTTTAATGTCTAAATTTATTTTAAAGCAATCAAATTCAACATATATGATCTTTCAAATGAGGTTGACTTGTAATTTCAAGTAAGGCCCCGGATAACTCAAATAAGGCCCGGTTTAAATACCTAAATTTTTAAAAGAAAATTAAAATAATATCGAACATTTATTTTTATTCTATTTTAGTATACATTATTAAAAATTAACATGTTATTTAGTACCTAAACTATCAATTTCATTCCGTTTTAGTACCTAAACTTTCAATTTTATTTAAAAGTTAATATTATATTTTGAGCGGGATATTAAAATGAAACAAAAGCTAAACTTTAAGCAGCAGCAACAGCAACAACAAAACCCTATTCTCATATGCAATGGGATAAGGGGAGGTAGGGTAGTAGGATGCTCCCAACGCCAGTTTGAGAACAGCTTCCGTGGAAGACCTCCGGCAGTCAGAAAATTAAAAGTAAATATAAAATGCAATGCATGTATAAATAAATAAATATATAAATAAATCTCCGCAAATAAATCTCTGCGTAAAAATCTATGCATATAGACAGAAACGCAAGACCCGACTAAATTTAAAGAGAGAAAACATGAAGAGAATGATACACAGAAATCAACGATAGCAAGTTAAGAGAAGAAATAAAGTCAAATGGTTAAAAGCTAAGCTAAGGCAACAGTACTCCGTGACCCTAGTTTCTTAGCCTTCATAAATTCCAATGACAGAAACGTATAAAAAGTAGAAGTCATGGAAATTACTATGAAGGCATTAAAAAGAAGACATAGATGTTACACCCTATGGCTGTGACCCGCACTACTCTGCTACCATGGTCTTAAGTCTCCATACTTTCCTATCAGAGGTCATGTCCTCGGTAAGGGCTAAATCCTTCAAATCAGATCTCAAGCAGTCTTCTCACTTCCACCTTGGTCGTCCTCTCCTTCTAGTACCGTCGACTGTAATCGACTCTACCCTCCTGACCGCATCCAACGGTTGACGCCTAAGGACATGTACAAACCACCGTAGTCTTCTCTCCCTCAATTTTTCAGATACATGCACCACCCCAAGGACATCCTAATAGCAGAGTTTGGTATCATGTCCCACATAGTCCTACCACATGCCCATCGAAGCATTCTCATTTCTGCGGCCTCCATCCTCCTTACGCGATCCTTCTTGATTGCCAAACATTCTGATCCATACAACAGCGCTGGTCTTATTGTCATTCTATAAAATTTTCCCATACGTTTTAGAGGCACCTTCTTGTCACACAAAACTCCAGTAGCATCCCTCCACTTTAGTCATCCCGTCTTTATACGGTTGTAACGTCATCATCTACACCCCCATCTTTACGTATCATAGACCCTAGGTACTTGAAACAATCCTTTGAGGGGAGAACATGTCCTTCTATGCATATTTCTACATCTTCATCGTTTTGGTTCCCACTGAAGTTTGAACATAAATACTCTGTCTTTTCAATATTGATCCTTAGACATTTTTCTTCCAAAGCAGTCTTCCAGGTAGCCAGTCTACTATTCAGCTCAGTTTTTGTTTCAGCAACTAAGATAATGTCGTCAGTGAAAAACATACACCATGAGACACTGTCTGGTGTCGCACAATATATGTCATCCATAATCAAGGCGAAGATGTAAGGGCTGAGAGCCGACCCCTGGTGGAGTTCGATTTCCACCAGGAATACCTCGGTGTCGCCGATTGTAGTCCTAACGTATGTAGTAAATCTATAGTACATATCACGAATCGCCCAGATATACGCAGTTGGGATCCGTCTTATTTCCAAGGTCTTCCAGATCGTATCGCGGGGAACGCTATCATACGCCTTCTCAAGGTCAATGAACGCCATGTGAATATCTCTATTTTTCCCCTATATTTCTCCATAAGCCGTCGAAGTAGATGAATCACCTCCGTAGTAGACCTTCCTGGCATAAAGCCAAATTGGTTTTCCAAAACCCTAGTAACTTGTCTCAACCTAGCCTCTATCACCCTTTCCCATAGCTTCATGGTATGGCTGAGTAGTTTAATACCTCTGTAGTTGCCACAACGTTGGGGATCTCCTTTATTCTTATATATTGGTATCACCGTAGACTCTCTCCACTCCTCTGGCATCTTGATAGTCTCTAAAATAATATTAAAGATATTAGTCAACCACTTAACTCCCTCTTCTCCTAGGGTCAACCACACAATGATGGGAATTTGATCTGGACCGACAGCTTTGTCCCTCCCCATCTTTCGAAGAGCCATTTTGACTTCCTCAAACCCAATCCTACTTGTAGTGCAGTCATTGGCCGTAGTATGATGGTCGGTTTACCCATCAACGGTACTATCTATATCGGGAGAAGCACCGTCATTAAACAAGCCAAAGAAGTAACTACCCCAAACCCTCTTAATATCATGATCTTTCACTAAAAGAACAACATTGTTGTCTTTAATAAACCTAATGCTACCTAGATCATTTTTCCTATTTTCTCTGGATTTTGCAAGCCTGAAGATTTCGTTTTGTCCTTCTTTGGTGTCTAATCTCTTGTATATTTCCTCGTATGCCTTATCCTTCGATTTAGCCACTGTTTTCTTGGCTTCCCGCTTGCCTCCTTGTATCTTTGTTTAGCTCTCGATCTTTCTTTGTCTTCATTGCATTGTAGAAACTCCTTGAAGCAAGTTTGCTTTGTCTTCACCTTAGTTTGGACTTCGTCGTTCCACCACCACGATTCTTTATGTTCCTTGACCTTTCCTGTCGACAACCCAAGGGTATTTTTTCCCACCTCTCTGATGGAATTTGCCATATTTTTCCATAACATATCTGCATTATTTGAGTTTGTATTTCCAAAACTTGTATAAGACAAAACCTTACTCCTAAAGTCATCAGTTGTCACTCCATGTAAGTTCTTCAAAAGGATCATAGGTTTACCAAGTTTAGCCCTCCTTTGAGTGCCCCGCCCGTGGAGTATACGGAACACCAAAACCAACAATTTATGTTGTGATGCACATGCCTCTTCAGGGAACACCTTACAGTCAATGCAAGCCCATCGATCCCGATTTCAAACCAGGATGTAGTCAATTTGGGTACAATGTCCCCCGCTATGGAACGTAATCAAGTTCACATCTCTCTTGTTAAAGAAAGAGTTAGTGACCACCATATCATGTGCAGTAGCAAATTCAAGCAACGTACGCCCCTCCTTGTTCCTACTTCCAAAACCGAAACCCCCATGAACACCGTCATACCCGTCGGTTGCACTACCTATATGACCATTAAAGTCTCCCCCTATGAAAACTCTTTAGTCCTCTGGAATGCTCCTAAGTACATCATCTAACTGATCCCAGAAGCAACGTTTCTCCCCCTCCCCTAGGCCAAAGTGTGGGGCGTACATTGAAAGAACATTCACTACTTCCGCTTCTATAATAACCCTAATCATCATGATCCTATCCCGGTATCTACAAACTTCAACAACATTTTCCTTGAGCCTAAAGGATACCAAGACACCCACCCTATTTCTAGCTTTATCTACGCCTGAATACCACAACTTGTACCCATTACACTCTCTGGCGCGTGCCCCTTTCCACCTAGTCTCCTGAATACATGTAAAATATATTTTCCTATTACTAAGTATGTCGGTCAGCTCCAGTAACCTAGCATTTAATGAGCCTACATTCAACGAACAAACTCTAAGTCTAGTCTCATTGACACCACTCTGTCGGGCCCTCCCCCTATACGCCCTATGGGATCTTAAAGAAGGACATGACCTCAAGTAATCATCTATAGTCAAAGTTTTGGGGAACTATGAACAAGGAATTCAAAGAAGACAAAAGATGCACCAATAAAACGCTAGAGAATTGAAGGGTAATAAGAAGCCTAGTTGACTACTTAATAGGATTTTAAGACAAATTAACACTATCTTACTTAACTTTAGGCCAACAGCTAGAAACCAATGATTTGATTTATATTTTACTTAAAGTGAGCATAAATAACTTATAAATATTCCTATAGGTGAGCAATCAGTCAGGTCAGTGCAGAAAAACCAAACACCTACGAAAAGCGACCTACGATTTTTTAGAAACTAAAACCGAACCGAGTTCATGAAGAAGCTGAAGCAACCAACCGATTTTTGTTTAAAATTGTTCAACTTTTTCCACAACTTTTTAATTAATTTTCACATTTATCAATCAGTTACAGAGCGAAAATATTTGCTGAAAAACAAAAAATAAAAATTATCCCTAAATAAAACAAATATTTCAAAGCAATACCTAAACAACCGATATCCCTATTTAACATAAACATAAGCTTAATCAAACATCAGCTTCAATAAAAAAATAACATTAGACTAGTTACGTTTTTCTCTCTTACCATTAAAATTCCACAATTTCTGTAAAACTTTAAGTACTAAACTCGTAGTTTACCCTAAAAATACCTAACGATATTACAAATAGATTGTAATCTAAAATTATGAGAAATATGTAATCTCATGCCATCCCATTCTATTCGTAATATGTTTTAACTGTTTTAATTATTCTTTTCAAATAGAATGAAAATTTAATCAAGAATAAAATCTATTTTTAATATTTTATTAATTTACCAATAATAATGATTATATTTTTTGTTTTATATATTTTAATAAAATTAAAGCAAAACAACCTTTTACTTAACCCAAAATGCAACGAAATTTTCAAAAATTGAAAAAGCATTTAAAACAATAAATAATGGGATAAATTATGTGTTTAGTACCTAAACTATCCGTTTTAGTCTATTTCAATACCTAAACTTTCAATTTTTCAAATCATACCTAAAGTTTAGTTTTGGCTTCATTTAGTACCCATGTTCAAAATTTAATGTTAAGTTTTGAAAACATTTGAAATGTTAGGTATTAAAACAGACCAAAATTGATAATTTAGGTACTAAACACGTTAAATGTTTTAACGTTGGAATACTAAAATGAAATGATAAGTCAATAACTAAACATTAGATATGATTTTGAAAAAAAAAATACAAAAATTTAGATATTAAAACAGACCAAAACTGATAATTTAGATACTAAACGTAATCGAACATGATTGAATAGATTTAAATATTTATTAGAAATAATATTGATTTTCAAAAATGATGGTGTTTACACAGGAATAAAGGGGAGAAAAACAGCCTAACAAAAACTTATATATTTTTCGGTTAATATGTGGAAAAAGAAACGCCTAGAAAATCCATGGCCAACTTAGCCATTATAGATGAAAATTCACTGAAACTAATAACACCATCCCCGTCAGAATCCGCCTGTCTCATCATCTCCCTCAGCTCCTTGTGCGTCAACGGATGACCCATTTTGTCCATGCAACCGGCGAGCTCCACCGCAGTGATGAACCCCTTTCCGTCGCGGTCGAACAACCGGAAAACCTCCATGAGCTCTCCTTCGTTCACCGTTATCTCTCGTTTAAATGTAGGCAGTATAGCGCTCACCAGCTCGTCGAATTCCACCGCACCGTTGCCGTTGGAGTCCATGCTGGCTAGCAGGACACGGATCTGATCGCCCGACAGCTTCACCCCCAGCGACCGGAGCAGCGCCGGCAGCTCGAGCTCGGTGAGACTGCCTTCGGAATCCATGTCGAACCTTGCAAAAATCTCCTCTAACTCCCTCAGTTGATCAACTCGTAACGCCGCCATTTTATTAAACTAGAAAGCCAGAAGCCGCCTGTGTTGTTGTTGTCTTAAACGACGGAATAAGACAACGCCAACGACGGCTCCAGGCGGCAGCGACGGAAATAAATTTATACAACTTCAAATTTGGAGTATTTTTGGGAGAGGAGTGTGGAAATTGTTTCAAGTGTGAGATTTAAATTCGTTTGATTTTTGGAGTAAAATTAAAAATAGAAAGCGAGTCAACGTCGGTGGATAAATGCATGTGCATGATTTTTCAAGGAAACCTAAAAATTATTTTTCTTTTATAAATTTATTGAAGGGATATTTATTATATTTGATAAATTATCTTATTGATCCTAGCATATACACATTGCTAGTCTTGGTACTATGTTTTGGAGGGGCTTAATTAAAATTTTCAAAAAATTAAAGGGATTTGAGAAAATATCTAATAACAATTTTAATTTTTTTATGGGGGCCATCATAATCTGTCTCTGGTACTACATGGTTATTAGAGTGAAAATAGAAGTGGTTAATAAAATATACCATTTTACTTTTTTCTAAAAAAATAAAGGGTAAACTACGCATTTAGTACTAAAACTATCCGTTTTTGTCTGTTTTAACACCTAAGGTTTCAATTTTTTCAAAATTATACCTAAACTATTAGTTTTTATCCGTTTTAGTAGTTAAACTTTCAATTTTTTCAATAGTTAACGTTAAATTTTGAACGGGGTACTAAAATGAAAGAAAAACCAAAGTTTTTAACGGCATATACTAAAATGAAACAAAATTAAACTTTAGGTATCGTTTTGAAAAAAATGAAAGTTTAGATACTAAAACGAACCAAAACTAATAGTTTAAGTACTAAGCGTGAATTTACCCAAAAATAAATTATCAATATAGTCTTATAATATGTATGATTTTTGGTATATTTTGTAACTAATGCTTCTAATTGTCAATGTTTGTGATCTATGTTTAATGCTTATTGTTGACTACATCATGCAGCTGGGATTCACTTGTTGCATTATGAAAGAATCAAGTTCATCTGAACATTTTGAGTGCAATTCCTCGGATTTCCCTGTAAAAGTTTATACAACACAACACAGCTAGAATCATCCACCGGAGAAGAAGAGAATCCGGGAAGCAACTTCAGAAGTCGGACTGATCAATGATTGGCTCTTAACAGGAAGCAACCTCCGAAATCCGACATTCTAACTTGATTGAAGTTATCAACTATCACCGATTGCTCATCGGGTAACTTGTTAGCCTGTTCGCCGGAGAAAGGCCTCAATTAGCTCTAAAAGTTTAACGTTGATAACTCTATAAAAGAGTTATTTTTAAAGTTTTTAAAGCATGTTTAGTTAGTGTATAAAGATATATACATACTTTGTTATATTGTAGTGAATACTTTGAGAAAAGAATAACTTGTTTGAGTAATGTTCGACACGCTACTTTAGTTGCTATAGCATCGTTAAATTGCATGTGGTTGTTTAACATTTATTATCTTTGTCACAACATATGCACACATTTTAATATCATGTTGTCAACGGTCTCTGTAAGATTCGATACTCGACACATTAATTTATGTTCACTCTATTACTTGATACAAAAGTTTATACTTGCGCTCATCATCTATCATTCGTAGCATCAAAGGTATGCCTCTCCTGTTATTCTCATGCCATGCTACAACATCGTTGTAAGCCAAGTTGCCCCCGAAAATGTCCAAGGCACTTCCCACGGTAACGTCCACACATCCCTTCCCTGCCGCTTTGATTGTCTCTAAATCATCCATTACCGTGACACCGCCAGCATAAGTGACCGGAATCTGCAAAACCAAGACCGTAATATGTCAGAATGTTTCAAATGAAATATACGTCCCGAAACGCAAATGTATGAGCTACCAACCGGAGAATGCTTGCCTAAAAAGGCCACGAGATCTTTGTCTATTCCCAGCCTGTAATTAAAGAGCAACCAGGTATAATACTACAAGAGCATAAGAACTAGCATTAAGAGCAATTTGCATAAACACGGTTAGGACTTACTTTTTCCCTTCTACATCTACACCGTGAACCAAAAATTCATCCGCGTATCCGGAAAGAAAGTTCAATATTTCCTCATCAAGATAGATATCGCTGAATTTTTGCCACCGGTCGGTGACGATGGCATATTTGTCATCCTGCAGTTGAAACCAGCATCTTATGGTTTAAACAACAGCCAAAATCAAAAGCCAGCGTTCTATCAACTCAGCGGATGACAGTCTGAAGTAAGGGAGGAGAACGATATAGAATGTTTCTGGAAATACTCGTATTCAAAAGAGATTTGCAGACGACAGAAATATTTCCCACCTTTCTGCAGCTAAGGTCCAACACGAGTCTTTGCTTCCCGACAACATTGACGAGACTTTTGAGCCTTTGAAGGTCCATTTGCCCTTTGTTAAATACATACTGTAACAAATCCAACAAGAAAATATACAGGAGATTAGGCGAAGGTGTCTTCTCTAAGCGAACCCCGTACATGTCAGGATTCAAAGCCTTGCAACTAGCAATGTTAAAATTCGATAAACATACTGAAGTAACAATGACATGGCTGGCTCCTTCGTCAATGTAACGCAAACAATTGTCTAAATTGATCCCACCTCCTACTTGCAAGCCACCTAGATTTTTCCGGTCACCGCAATACGTGCAACAGAGGGAAAGTCGGTAAGTATTAAACAAATTACCGAAGATAGAGAACAAAGATGAGACAGCCACTCTCAAGAAACTCCATTCGAGATTACAGAACAACCAGTAGAAGGTATACGATAAACCAAGATTGACATCTATCCTTCAAAGTTTTCACAATGATATCGAGCATGTTTAGGCCAGAGAAAGAAAATTAAGCCGCAGGTATAAGAACATTGGACTCAAAAGATAAATTTCAACAGCTTGTACCGACACCGAACTAGTCTGCAGTATTAAGCTAAGAATACCAAAATTAGTACGAAATAAAGCAAAACACTGCATCTAAAGGTCTCAATTTACCTAAGAATAACCTGGCTTTTACAACAAATGAAAACAATGTTCCAACAAGTTAGTATTGTCAATTAACTGACTGCTCCTATTGAGGTAAAGCATCTATTTTCAAACAAAGTACTATAACCGGAATAAACCGATCACCGAATGTGAAACTTAAATGCAAGTTTTTACCAGGACATGCACGCAATGCTTCAATGGCTGCTGCTTGGCTTAGAGGATCAGCTCCAAGCATGATTACATGACCACCCATTAGCCCATCTTTGTACAACTCCGCAAACTCGGCTGCCGACTTATCCGATTCGAAATTGGTTACAAGGGTTGATCCATCTTCCTTTGAATCTGTAAGAGTTGACCCAACAATTTGCTTCACTTTCCCCTTGTGAATATCAATGCAAGGACGAAAACTGACAGCGCGACGAACAGGAGAATGGCGAGATTCTGCAAGAAAAAATTGGTTAGATTCGAGAAACCCAGTAAGGAAAAAGAAAAAGGGAAAACGGTAACCAGTTGTACAGATATTAAACTAAGTGAAGGAATGGCGGCGGCTCTGGGAGATGGAAGGTGGGTAAAGCCATTAAAGGAAAGCTTGAAATTGCTGCCACGGGAAATGCTACTACTCAGCTTCCTTATCGAACAACTCCCATGGAGACTGCTGCTTGCCATCTTTGAAATCCCCCTTGTCTTAAAATTTTCGCAAAACCCCTCGGCCAAGATGAAGACTGAAGAGGAGATTTTCGGGGATTTATACTTTCTTAAGGATGAACCTAATGGATTTTAATCACATTCGAGTTATAGGATAGTTTTTTTAAGCTTGGTTTGGGCTGAATCGAATCGGGTATTTTGAAGGATTACATTGGGTTTGGGTTGGATTCAATTTTATTATGAAAAATGCCCAATCCGATTTAAAAAATAGGGCAAACTACCATTTAGTATCTAAACTATTCATTTTGATCGATCTAGTACCTAAACTTTCAATTTTTTTAAAATCATACCTAATGTTTAGTTTTTATTTCATTTTAGTACCCACTCTTAAAAACTTAATGCGTTTAAACACTAAAATATCAATTTTAGTTCGTTTAAGTATCTAAACTTTTAATTTTTTTTTAAAATTTAACATTAAATTTTTAACAATGTACTAAAATGAAACAAAACTAAAGTTTTTAATGGCATGATACTAAAATAAAACAAAACCTAAACTTTAGGTATGCTTTTATAAAAATTAAAAATTTAGCTACTAAAACAGACCAAAATTAATATTTTAAGTACTAAACTCATAAGTTACCCTAAAAATAATAGTAGTATAATTTACATTTATATATTTAGAAATGACTACTATAATATTTTTTATCTATAATTTTTTAAAATTAAATTTCTATTTAATCCGATAAAAATATAAATTATATGTAAGTATATATGTCAGGTTGGAGGCAAATTTTTAACTTATAAATTAGGTCTGATTTCAAGTAAAGTGAAATCTTCTTAAATCTAAATTAGGTCACATAACACATGTATTATATTTAAGTTGGGCCAGTGACTTAGAATGAGTACTACTACATAAATTCTAAAATCATATTATCACCCATAGATTCTCTAATATTATCACTTGAATGAGTTGAAGAGTCGTTATGGTGTCCCGAATTAGCTAAGGTAAATGAGTATAGATCTGAATAAAAAAAGCTGAGTTAGAAGATCTTTTCTCTCCCATATGTAAGGGTTTATATGGTTTAAGCTTATATCCCAATATGCCATGTGATCGTCAAGAGTCGAAGCAATACACAGGTAGGCAACAAGATATTATCACACGCGCGTGCGCACACACAGATATATATGCATAACGTCTAAGTCTTCTTCAGTTCCGCTAGAAATTCTTCAAGATCATCCAACTTCGCATTCAAAAGGGCTGCATTTCAATGAGAGAACATGAAAACTACTTTACAAGACAGTCGAGGAATAAAGGGATCTAGTAAGTGTGCACGTGCTGACACAGAAAAAAATTGTACCGTTCTTTGGATTTGCGGTGAAGTAATCGGTAAGCGAGCTGCATACACTCTCCGCTCCTTCGTGTTCCATTTTTTCTGCCTTTCTGGAGTTAAATCCCGACATCTTAACACGGAGTTCGGCCGCAGTTTGCATCATTTCTGCAGAAAGAGAAAATATCATGACGAGCAGGTTAATTTACTTGAAAACTAATGCTTCAAAAATCAAACCTCATATGTGAAACTGATGAGAAACGGAGTAATGAAACCACTCTTTGCAACAAAAGTAGTTTCCAAGTCATTAGTTAAAAGGCTTGTGACAGTTTTCTTGATTAACTAAAGGCTCAGACTGGTTGCATAATACAACTAACCCTATAATCAGGCAACTTGTGGCAGTGTTCAGGCTGATTCAAGAATTGATGCATAAAAGAAACTCAAAGAACAGAACTCTAATCATCAAATAGCATTCTAGGTATCATCTGCCTTTGTTACTTGGACTATGTATACGGTCATTTAATGGCCATATACTAATAACCATGCCAGGATATGTCAGACACGATTGCTGGATATTATTATTTTAAGAAAAATGAAGATTCAAAGCAACATAAACAACTATCAAAGTAGTCAATATAACTCGGTTACCAATATATTTTGAGAGCTTCTTTGGTGCTTGGATGATATTAGGTGGGAAAAGTTTCTTATTTACCCATGGATAGGATTTACATCATCCAAAAGGATTAATTGAATCCCACGATGATGGGAATATGGAAAATATGAGGAGCAACTTTATTTTGCATACCAACATGCATGAAAATAAGATAAATAAAGACGAAAACGCTCATCACTCTTCATTGCAACCTGAGTAGTTTATGTGCACATTATTTCCGGAACAAACAATAAGTAAACAAAGAAAAGAAGATGCAAGCAGAAAGGTTTCTATACACAGCTATGCTACTTCTTGTCCCCTAATTTTCACACGTACAACATCTAAACGAGAATCCTGTTTCTTGTGCAAGCAAAGCACTAACTTGCCAACAGCTGCACAATCTGTTGGTTAGAGATGTTGGATCATCAACTCAAACAACTAGGGCTCAAAGTCTGAAAACTTAACAGTTCAAATACCAGAAAGCACTATCTGACCGATGTAATGCAGTACTAGGCAACTTAAAGTACCTTGGAACATGTCATGCATAGAGGGGTCTTCATATAATTGCAGTGTCTCGCTAATAAGTTCAGTGCAATGCACTCTTGAAGCAGACTGTCTTTCCAATTCTTTAAGTTCACCGTTGAGCCTATCAGTCTCTACCCCAACCTACGGAGAAGTTTTCGTTTAGACAGATTCAATAGAGGGGAAAATTTTCATGCAAATAAACATTCCGGCAACATTGGCATATAGATATATAAATATACACACACATTAAGAATCCCTCTCACCAATGTAAGTTTATTCCTTAATGAATCCAACTCTGCATCCACATCTGGTTCAGATAGAGCATCTTGAATCATTGAAGAACTAGCAATTAGCTCATCCTAGAAAGGAGAACGCATGAGAATTTACAGTAATAACTAAAATAAAGAAAATTTTAACAAGGTATAAATAAAGTACAACAATTTTTCTAACAAGCTAAGCGTTCATTTATGAAGAGTTTTCCATCTTTTTTCTTTTTTTTCTAGACTTCTGTATTTTGCTAGCACATAGCAATTTTTCAACATCTTTTGCTTCTGATGATTTTCATGATACGCATTTTTATCTTTTTCTCAACTTCGCTATTATGAAGATAGTTATTGTCTAGTAGTTGCCTCTTGCCAATCCTACTAAAAGACAGATCATTGAGATTGCAATTTTCTGCAACAATATTAACTTGACTATTCCTAATTCTATGTTTGGAAAAATACTTTTGAGAATTTGGATTTAGATTTCATTTGTTATATAAATTGTGAGAATGAAATATATATCATGTATACTTTTAACTCGACTATCCCTACTTTCCTAATTCTATGTTTTTTTAGACACACATACATGAATTACAGAATTAGAAATATCCCTAAGGACTTCAAATAACTGCTAAATAGGCATCTCACAAATCCATGTTTATGGATATTATAATTACATGTATTTTGTTACATGAACTGCACTATTTTGAAATTCAAGTTCCCAGAGCAACCTAAATGTGAATTCCAACTCTGTAAATGATTCTATGCCATCTATGTTACATGTTATATGATAACAAACATCTACACATCTCTAGTATAAAAAAGAAACAGAAGAAAAGCTCCATGTCTCTCCAATAGTTTAGTCTCAGTTTTGTCTGGCATTCTATACATTTACACTATTTAAGTAATAAACTTGACATGCATGATGCTACAATAAAACCCAATTTTCAACATGTAAGGATTTGCATACAAGTTATGCTGAACAGAACCATAACAAAAACCTACATTTTTTGGTAAAGAAAAACCTTCAGGAACCGAAAAACAGTGGCGAAGACAGTACTTCTCCCACATAGCAAGCCGCTTGTCCAAACTTGATTGAATCATATTGCGAATATAATTAACTCCCTAAAAGAGAAACAAAAAGCCAAGAAATTAGTCTGCCAGTCGGAAAAGGGTCAGGTCTTTTACTGCTACTATAACAGACTCAACCTTCCTCGCTCTTCCAAATATGACAAAATTGTTACGTTTCCTGCATTTCCTAGTACTCCACAACTATGTTTAAGTAGTCTTCGTTCAAGAATATTAGGGGAAAATATGAGCACAAGCTTGAATTCAATTAAAAAAGAGCAATCAACATGTGATGCATGATTAACGAAATTAACTCATCTAAATTTTCAACTTAAAGCAGATTAATTTGTGCAGCAACTATTATTAACAAAATTCTCAAGCCTATAAATCACTGTCGGCTCTGTTAAGTCAATAAGTCTAAAAATCAAAATAGCAATAACTTAACTCTTTTGCAAAATGAAGAAAAAAAAAGATTGCAGGTTACCTTAGTTAGATCATGGGAACGGTCAGTACCTTCGACTTTCAAAATTTTGGAAGCTTCTCTGCATGTTTTCACCAAAATTTTACAAACCTTCAACTTGACAGAAATCGCGGAGGGAAAAAGTAATAAAAGGATGAAGAGAAACGGAGAGAGGCAGAAATATACTGGAGATAGAAATCGAACGCATCGTTGAGTAGATCATCGACTGTGTTCAGCGTTTCATTGATGAAAAGCTGTGGATTTAGGTTCAAAGAATCGAAAATTTCTTCGCTTCTGCTGCCTTCCATTTTCACAATCTCTCCCCCCTCCCGCTTTTTTTAGGGTTATTGCTTCTCACTTATCTCGAGTTCGAAATAGTTTTCACTACAGAATTTCCCGCCAAGCCTACTGTTGCGGCAAGTTGCAACTAATATTATTTTATTATTTATTTTTAAATTTGAGGGTAAACTACACCAGAATTATTGAATTATACTATAAAATATTTTTTCTCAATAATTTTCTAAATGTTCCAAATTTATTATTTAATTTTTTAAAGATTACAAAATGATCACTTATAACGTCAAAATAATAATAAATTTTGAAAAGTTTAACAAATATTTTATGAGTTGTGAAGCATAATTTGTTATTATGGATGATCTATAATTACCATAGAATATGAGAGTGTATATACATTCAAAATGATTTTCATTTTGTTAAATTTTATCTAGTTCATACCTAAAAAACTTTGATATTGTAATTAGGGATGGGCATGGTTGGGTCGTGTCGAATTTTCAGTCTACCCGACCATATTCGAAAATTTTAAATCATCTATCCGACAAAAAAATATACCCTTCCACTTGTCTCGATTCGAAAATTTTTAATCTTTCATCCGACCCAAAAAATATACCCTTCCACCCGACCTGACCCGAAAATATATTTATTAAAAATATTATTTTTATTCAATAAAAATATAGATTTAATCGAAAGAAAATAATATATAGAGGGATATTATTATAATTATTTCTAAATATATAAGGTAAAATTATAATTTTTTTCGGATCGAGTATTTTTCACTCTAAATACCAACCTGGCCCCACCCAAACCGAAATACAACTTTAAAAACATGATCCGAATATATTTTTTTAAATTTGACCCGATCGAATCAGGTTGAGTTGAAATTTACTGGGTTCGAATCTCATGATCATCCCTAATTGAAAAAAAAACTGATTTTATTTTCTAAAAAGTATAAAAATTAAAGATCTAAGGTTTATTACAAATCTAGTAATTTTGAAATGATTTGCCAACAATCCCAAAATGCTAAAAGTGCCAAAGAAAAAAGAGTTTATTTATTTTTGTTAATCAAAAAAATGAAATAAAAAACAGTAGGACGCATGAGAATCAGATTTTAGCCCCAAGATAAATATACACTTGTCCTAGAAAGAGTGGGGCCACGTCTCGTATGTTAAAACCAGTCAAAAGGGGGACCACGGGAGCACATCGTGTGAGAGAAACACACAAGCAAACCAGGGACCTCCCTTCTCTTGTCCCTTTGGGTAAATTATGACTAACCTTTTAAATTACGTAGATTTTCTTTAAAGAATTTTTTATTTAAATTTTCAAATAATAAAATATTACAATAAATAAAAAACATGCATCCCTTTATTTTACAATAAATGTAATTATGGGCAAAATTTTTGAGATAATGTTTTGAAAAAAATTAATTTATGAGTTAATGTACTTCCAAAATTAATTGCTCAAATAGGGTGAAATCCACAGTGTTGGTCGTAGGTCGTCATGCCTTCCGGGCGACTAGGTCGCCATGTCTTCATCCGACCGAGGCCATCCGACCGAGGCCATCCGAACGAGCTATGCGAGGGAATCCAAGGGCAACCGAGCGAGGGTAGGTCGCCCGGAGTGCATGGCGACCTACCCTCGCTCGGTTGCCCTCAGATTCCCTCGCATAGCTCATTCGGATGGCCTCGGATGCTCTCGGATGCTTTCGGATGGCCTCGGTCGGATGGCCTCGGATGCCCAGTGTGTTGGGACGTGCATGGCACATGCAATCTCTTGTAGCTCGCCGGGAAGACATGGCGATCTACGGCCAACACTGTGGATTTCACCTTATTTGAGCAATTAATCTTGAGAGTGCTTTATATCGTGAATTAATTTTTTCCAGAATATTATCTCGAAAGTTTTGCCTGCAATTATGCTATGAAATCTTTGAGATCTATTTTTTTTATGTTTTAAATAACTTATATAATTTAAAAATGATGGAAATAGAGGAAGAAATGGGGGAGAGAAGAATAAGGAGGTTAGTTCATGTAATAAATAATTTGATATTATTTAAGTATATTTCGTGTTCGAGTTTTTATATATGTAGAAAATCTATATTAGGAGACTCGTACACTAAAATTATATATATTATATGGGCCAATTCGAATTATTACGTTACACTGGCCAATCCAAATTAATAATGACAAAATATTTGAACTGATAAGATAACAAAAATAGGTAAACAACGTATTTAGTATATAAATTATCAGTTTTAATTTATTTTAGTATCTAAATTTTTAATTTTTTTAAAACTATATTTAACGTTTATTTTTCACTTCATTTTAGTATATCGCCGTTAAAAATTTAACACGTTTAGTTTCTAAACTATTAATTTTAGTCCGTTATATACCTAAATTTTTATTTTTTTCAAAATTTAATGTTAAATTTTGTACAATATATTAAAATTAAATAAAAACTAACATTTTTAATGACGGAATCTTAAAATAAAATAAAAAGTGTACTTTAAATATAATATTAAAAGAAATAAAAAATTAAATATTAAAATGGATTAAAATTAGTAATTTAAATATTATACGCGTAATTAAAAAAAAACATAAACGACAGGAGAGTCGGGAGAGGATAGCACATGCCCCCCACTAAGGTGGTTGAAAGGTTCAAAGAGTGGGGTCCATGAGACATTCCTCTTTCCCACCACCCCACGTGACGCCGTCACGAGAAAGATGAAAGCCCCCCAGTGACGCACTCCACTTGCTCTCCACGTACCCTCCTTTTTCTTTTTTTCCCCTTCCCATAATATCCCATCGTACTGAATTAATTAATGATTAATAATATGTAAATATATTTGATTTTATAGTATTCTATTTATTATATCAATAAACATACATATAAATTTAAAATCAACGGATAGTCTTAGAACATAAAACATTAATACTTTATTTAATATTATTTTTATAAATATAATATTATTTTTATAAATATGATACTATTTAATCCGTTAATATATATAAAAATATGCAAAGAAAAAATCATTACGTCGAGTAAAGTGCCGCTGCCCAATTCCCTCGACGGCACAACTAAAGATAAAACCCGAAGGGATAGTGGGGACCCCACCGCACGTGATGAGGGCAGCTGAACGACAGGTGATGGGCGCACGTGAGTAATTGCCGATTTCTCAAACACCCCGTCTCACGTGCTACACGAAACGCGTAAGAACCACCCCGGTAAATTGAATATGTGTTTTTAAAATTATTAAAAAATTATTTTTTAGAATGTACACAATCAAAGAATTGTCCTTAAGAACAAACACTGCCCATCCAAGCTCCTCATCTTGTCCCTCAATGTCGCGGTGAACCCTGCACAGGTTGAGAACAATCTCCCAAATTTCTCTAACAAACATATAGCAAAAATATATATGATTTCTCGACTCCTGCACATTCCCACAGTTCCTACGATCTTCATTCACAACAATGCCTATCCTGCTTAGCCTATCAGCACTAGGCAACCTATCAAGATTTGTCATCAAACATTCATCTAGCTTGAATCATCATTCAATTTCCAGCACTAAACAGAGGATGAACCACTCCTTAAACTCATAAGTTTCCTCAACCCAGTTTAAACAAGACTTACATTCAACTTGCCAAAAATCAACTCATTTAAGAGCATAAACCTGGACTCAAGCAGTCCAAAAAGAGCCACTACCAACAACAATGCTCTTAATTAAGGAGATCATGCAAACCTTAGTCCAACCATGTAAACTCTTAATTCCTAGTCCATCCTCAGATTTGGGAATACAAACATTGTCTCAACTCACCCTACACCCCTGGCAGGGACATCATTTCCATTCCAGAAAACCTAGAGCACACCTGCTTCACTCTTTTCACCACAGCAAAGGACAAAAACAATTGCCTACACCAAAAGTTTGCCACGTTAAATAAAACAACCTCAATTAACTGCAACTTATGTTACCTAAATTTTGATCTTCTCCACCAAGCTACTACAGCTCTTTTCAGTCAATTTTACAAAGATTATTTAATTAAAATTTATTTTACACAATTTATATAATTTTTAGTTTTCCAAAAATTTTCTAAGAGAAAAATAATCAAACAAAATATGAAATTATTTAACAACATAAAGTTCAAATATAATATAATTTAATACCTAGATTTTTCTTCAAAAAATTCTATGTAATAATGTATAGATAAGTAAAATAAGTATTTATATAATAATTATTTTGGTACATTAAAGTTTAGGTCAGGGGTGACTCCCTCAATACTTGGCCATGACATACCTAAGATCCAATTGAAATTTATATAGGAATTTACAGATTACACACTAAGAGTAATTATAGTAGGATTAGAATGTGACCTTACAAGTTCAAATTTCTGAATTATAACTATTTGTATCAACACTAGTTGATATTTCTATAATAATTACGCAAAAAATATTATTTTAAAACTCAAATTTGACTTTTCAATCATTCTTAAAAAGAAACCTCATCTATTCAGAACTCTGTTTTCATTCGAAAAATATATATTTTTATTTTATTGGGTCATATTAAAATTCGTTAAGTATAATTTTTATTTTGAGATTTTTTTAAACCGTTACAAATACAATTATAATAATATTCGTATCAATTGAATTACTAAAATAATTAAAGGAATGATTATTATTTGTTTGAGGACGTGGTTTGTGGTGTATCTAGGGGTGGATTTACTTAGGCCATACCCCACCTCATGTCCCAATATATATATATATATATATATATATATATATATATATATATATATATATATATATTATTAAATATTTATTAATTTAAATAATAGTATGTATAAATTATATTGTTAAATTATATTGGTCTTATTGATATATTTTTCTAGACACACTTTAAATATATAGTTATTGTATTTTTACAATAATATATATATATATATATATATATATATATATATATATATATGTTAGATAAATTTTTAGGTATAAAAAATTAGTCGCCAATATTTTATCAAAATGATCATTTTGGTCTTTA